AATGTATGGGTTAAATATTTATTATATATAATTAAAATATATAATAAATTATATAAAAATAAATATTATATCTAAATATATAAATTATATTTAAAATTTATATAAATAGATATTTTTAAACATAAATTGTATTTTAAAAATGATTCATAAATAATTATGATAAATAAAAGATGTAAAATTGGGTTAGCTGTGAGGATCTCTGACAAGATGTTTAGTTGATCCTGGGAGGAAAAATATATAAGGTATTTGTTTTGAACAAAGTTTATAATCTCTTGCTCTCTAGAAATCTTAGAGAGAGAGAGATCTAGAGAGAATATTTGATTTTTCTTCCCTTCTTTTTCTCTCAATGTTCTTGAGTGCGAGATTCGTAGTTGAGAGTGTCGGATTCAAAGTTTAAGCTAAAAATCAAAGGGTTGAGGCGGTGCAAAGCTTAAAAGCTCAAAGTTCTCCTTTATCAATTTAGCTTGGAATCAAGGTAAGGGAAGTAGAATTCGAATCATTGTTCCATTTTCATTTGCATGTGGTTGGATTATCATAAAAAATGTAATTATGTTATTGAGTTTTGAATTTTCATGAATTCCATGTTGTGAAGTTTGGGTTTCTGGGAAAGGTGAACCCAAAACCCAAGGTGATTGATCTCTTGACGTTGAGTGCATGCATGTTGCATCAAAACTAGTTTTCATGTTGCTTAGAGCCTTTTGGATGGAATGCATGTGAGTTTGATGGTTTTTATTTGATTTTGGGGTTTACAAACGAGTTTGGGATCGTTTTGGAACTCGTTGGAGATGTTCTTGAGGAGTTCATGCTCGTAACACCATATCTAGGAGCTGCCACGAGCGTGACTAGGTGGTCATGGTCATGATTAGCATTACCCTGCCAAAAATTGTTGTAGAAATGAAAACAAAGTCAGTCAGAGCATGACTTATAATTCACAATTATGATCCTTGCAGCTTGAAGTCAAAAAACATTTGCAATAACCTAATAGAGTCTCTAATGGACGTGACAAAATTATCATGGTCATGATTGTCTTGAGAGTCCCTGTATGAGTTGAACTAGCTGTTGAGGTCTTCATAAAAGTTGTAGTCTTGGATTTTAACTTTTCAATGGATTTAGAATCACCTAAAAAGGAGGTATAGAACTCCAATTATAACCTTTTTAGTGAGTAAAAGTCAAGCTGTCAGCATTTAGGCAAATTGTTGTTGTTTTGTGATTTTCAGTATAGTAGATGATGGAGTTAGAACTTGAAGTCTGCGTAAGAATTGTAGATAACCTTTTTAGCTCTCATATGATATAAAAATGAGTTTGATTGCAATAGTAGAACTCCCTATGTATTATTTTATGTAAAGATTGTCGTTGTACGATAATTGATTTTGACAAGTTGTATGTTGATACATGTTGTATGATAGGTGAATTTGGTGAACA